AAAATGTTGAGGGTGGGAGGAGGTGAGGCATGAAAAATTACCTATGGGGTACAATGTACACTACTCAGGTGATGGGTATACCAAAAGCCCAGACTTCACCACTACACAATATATACATGTAACAGAATTCAATTTGTACCCCCCAAAACTTGAAATTTTAAAAAAATTAATAAATTTACCGTAGATATGATTTGTCTCATTCAATCTGTTAATATATTTAGCCAGTCCTGGGACTATTTGCTCCCAGATCCATCTCTCATTTTCTCCTACTCTGCTCTCCACTATACAGGATTTGACTCCTGAAGGCTACAATTCCTAGGCTCACCAACATTTGGCTGCCATTTTGGTTCAGGAAGATAGAGAGATTAGAAGTTTTTCTCCTCCTTCTTCTGCATCAGGTGACTTCTCCTTCAGTGGCTACATTGCCCATGGCTCCAGCCACCATCAGATAGTCCCACCATGATTCCAGATCCTGTTGAACCCAATACCTAGGCTCCATTAATGCTAAAGTCCTCTCTTTGTCCTTCCCACCTAGAGGTGAGATTGACTTTCTCATGTGGCTAATTATTGGGTTCTCCAACTCTCCCCCGATTAGCTTCTCCATCATTTGTGTAATCAGTCCCCTGCATTAAATTCCCTCTGTATTAAATATTTATAAAATTTTCTATTTTCCTAGAAAATCCTTGACTGTTACACATGGCCAGTTATATTGATTGATCTTCTTGTGTTAAACTTCTTTGCATTCCTGCAATAAACCCAACTCTGTCAACAGCATTTAAACATGTTTAAATCTCTTCTATAACTAATGACAAAAATAAAACAAAACAAAATGCCTTTGGAACCTAAAATCTCCTCCAAGTGACATTCTATTTCTATCATCCTTTTCACAGTCATCTCAAAAATAATTTTACAGCCCTTGTTTGGGGATACATATTGAAAAATTTAATAGCATAAGTAATAGAATAATATATTCAACTTGTAAAAAATTCAAGTGGTACACATAAAGCTATATAACACTAACTGTGTGATACAGCCCAAGTGATACTCGGAGGGAAATGGATAGCCCTAAATATATTAGAAAATAAAAATATTTAAGGGGGAGGAGGGAGGAGTGGGGGAGAAAATAAAAAAAAATATATTTAAAACATCTGCACAATTCAAGAAACTAAAGAATAAATACCATATCAAACTTAAGTTAGTAGAAGGTATGAAATAATGAAGATAAAAGCAGAAATAATGAAATAGGTAACAGTAGAGATGACTGACAAAACACAGTTATTTGAAAATACTTATAAAATAGACATTTTTCCAAGTAGGATCAATTACTAAAGAAAAAAGCATAAACAATGGAAGTTAAATAAAATTGTACAAAACATAGATACCGAAGAGATTTGAATAAGAGAACACTACATATATGACTGCTCACCATTGGTCATGGATGCAACAGCTCCCCATTTAGCATGTAGCCTGTGACTTGGAGTCATTTTTTACAAGGGTTGCAGCTGGACAAATGCTCCGAGTTAGAAGGGAAAGAACATTTCCCACGGAGCATTTAATCAAGGAGCAAAGAGCCAAGATGAGGGCTCTTATGAGTGAGAACTGAGGTGTCCATCACCCCAGAACATAGGAGTCCCAAAGAATCCATCTCTGCCCTGTCAGTCCTGGAAGACCCCAGGCAGAGTTGTCAGGCTGACCACTCCTTCGATTCTCTACAATACAGGCATTGACCTGTATAAGTGAAATTCTGCCTCAAGAGATTCAGGGCAGTGTAAGCCTTAGTCTAATGGGGGCATACTCAGATAAGCCCACGGAGGTGTCACATGCCTCGGTAGGAGTCGAGGTGAGGGCCTTGAGGGTGGACTAAGGCAGCCCTGGACTCCAGAACAGAAGGGGCCCCAGCACTGTACTTGTGGTCAGCTGTGGGAGATCCCATTGCAGAGTGGAGGGAGTCCGAGGTTCTGCCAGGAGTCAAGGTGAGACACTGAGGGAGGACTAGGGAAACCCTGGACCCTAGGACAGAGGGGCCGCATCCCTGTCTCTGCCATCAGTAATGTCCGCTGACTTCTGCCTGAGGGGTTGACAGAGCTGAGGACTTAGTCTGAGGTCCAGACTTCAGGTCAGCGGAGGGGAGAGGGCCCAGGCTCTGTTAGGACTCAAGGTGAGACACTGAGGGACAGGTGAGGAGGTCCCCACTACAGGCAGACAGACCCAAATAATCCAGCTCTGACCCTGCTGTCAGCCCTGGGCCAGCCTGGGACAGAATTGTCAGGCTGAACCCTTCTCCGTTAGAACTCAAGGGACTCTGGGAGTCAGATGCTGATGTGACCCAGAGTCAACTAAGGGCCATAGAGGGCGGGGATCCAGGCTCTGCCACATCCCAGTAGAGAGTCCCACAGTCCATCCTTGTCCCTGCTGTCAGCCTGGAGAAGCCCGGTGTGGGGGGGCGGGATCTGACATCCACAGACGACGATCTGGGGGGCTGAGAGAGGCGAGGCCGTTGGTCTGAGGGGCAGGTTTCAGATCGGCGGAGGGGAGAGGGCCCAGGCTCTGTTAGCAGTGAGGTCAGATGACGAGGGTGGACTGAGGGACCCGTCCCCCAGGTAGAGGGTCCCCAAATTATCAAGCTCCACCCCTGCTGTCAGCCCGGAAAGCCCCGGTGTGGGGGGCGGGATCTGACTTCCACAGACGAGGGTCTGGGGGGCTAACAGAGGCGAGGGCCTTGTTCTGAGGGGCAGGCTTCAGATCGCGGGTTGGGGAGAGGGCCCAGGCTGTTAGGAATGAGGTGAGATGCTGAGGGTGGACTGAGGGGCCCCACCCTAGGTAGAGGGTCCCCAAATAATCCAGCTCTGCCCCTGCTGTCTGCCATTGACCACCCCTGGGCAGACGTGTCATGCTGAGCCCCTCCCCCCAACTTCTTCCTCAGAGGACTCTAGGAGTCAAAGCCTGGTGTGACCCGGCCGAATAAGGTCCATTGCGGGGGGGGGCAGGGGGGGAAGGGGGTGTGATCCGCGCTGTGCCACATCCCGATAGGGGGCCCCACAGTCCATCTTTGCCCTGCTTTCAGCCCAGGGAAGCCCTGGTTTAGGGGGCCGGATGTGACGTCCACTGACTTACACCTCAGGCGTTAGAGAGAAGTGAGTGGAAGGGACGTAGGCTGTATCAGGCAGCCAAGATGCGAACACAGAGATAAGAAGGAGGGGAGGGAGCCTTAGACTTCAGGATAGGGGGGAACCCCACAGATGCCTGCCCCTGCTATCAACCCTGCTGTAAACCCTGGGAGGCCCCATGCAGGGTGGTCTTGACAGCCACCTCTGGGTCTGAGAGAGGGTAGGGGCTTGGTATAGTGAGTATGGCCTCAGGTGACCAGAGGAAGATGCCCAGGCCCTGCTGGGAGACAAGAGGTGGATGGAGATCCAGGATCCCAGGACAGAGGGGCCCCAACCTTGCCCTTGCTTCCATCCCTGGGAGACCTGGGCAGGGTGGCCACATGGGATACATCCACACTTCTTTACAGCCATCAGGAAGGTGAACACCTTGGTCTGAGGGAGGACTAGGGGTACCCCACTCCAGAACAGTGGAGGCCTCACAAACACACCCTGTACCCACAATCAGCCCTGGAAGCTCCAGGCAGGGTGGCCAGACGCGGTGCTCCCTCACCTGAGTGTGGTTAGAACCTTGGTCTGAGGGTTGAAGGTCCAGGTTGGCATAGGAAAGAGTCCCAGGCCTGCTAGGCATCGAGGTGAGGACACAGGGAGATTAGAGAGGGGACCTCCTACCCCAGATAGAGAGAGCACATCCACCCCCTGCCCCTGTTGTTGGCCCTGGGAGGCCCCAAGCACGGGTGACCGGATGTGCTGGCCCCAGACTTCTACCTGCGGAGCATGTCAGGGAGGAGAGGACCTTGTTCTGAGCAGTGCAGCCTCACATCAGCTGAGGGAGGAGTCCCAGGTTTTGTCAGAAGTCAAGATAAGTACCCTTAGTGAGCACTGAAAGTACTTACCCACCCCAGAAAAGAAGGGACCCCACAGAGTCTGGCTTCTCTGTTTTCAGCCCCCTGGGGATGCAGGTGGGAGCAGCAAGATGTGGCAAGCTCTGGCTCTCACGGCAGTGGGGGGAGGGGCATCCTCAGGAGTTGGAGCTTGGCCTGAGCTCAGAGGGATGATGTCAGGTCAGCAGGGGGTGGGTCCAGGCCCTGCCAGGATTAAAGGTAAATACCCTTAGGGTGGGTCGAGGGAATCCCCACCCCAGAACAGTCTGATCCAGGCCCTGCCATCATCCCTGGGAGATGTGGGGCCCACTCACTGCCTTCTGCTCCGTATCAGGGATGTGAGCCCTTGTTCTGAGAGTTTCTCAGCCCAGCAGAGGGGTGGGGTCTAGGGCCCTCTAGGCGAAAGGTGAGGGGCGTGAGTGAGCACCGAGGCGACCATCCACCCCAGAACAGTGGGGACCTCACAGAGCCTGGCCCACCCTCCTGACAACACTGGGGGGCCTGGGGCTGTGCGTGTATCTGCAGCCTGAGGGCCCCTCACTTCCTCTTACATGGGCTTGAGGAACCCACAGTGAGACAGTATCTGAGGCAGTGTCCTCAGGTCACCGAGCAGAGGAGGCCCAGGCAGTGTCAGGAGTCAAGGTGAGGTACACACTCTGAATGCGTGCCAGAGGCCCTGCCCTCCCCAAGACAGAGGGGACCCCACAGCACCTGGCCCCACCCGCCCACTGTCAGCCCTGGAGCCTCGCACTCTGGGGGCCAGCTGCTCCTGAGGAGCCATCTCATCTTCTTGCTCATGTGCTCAGGGGATAGGCTGACCAGGAGAAGAGGAGCCCTAGGAGTCCCCAGAGCATCATCTAAGGAGAAGGCCTATAGGTTGCACTTTGTTAGAGTCCCCAGGGTGTGGTTCTCACTGAGGCCACTGACATGCTTCCTCTCTTCCCAGGTCTGTGGCTTCCCATCACCTAGCTCCTGCCCACACTCCTGCCTGCTGTCCCTGACCAGAGGCATCATGGCTCACCACCACGACCATCAAAGAAATCAGTGCAGCAGTCTCGAGGAAGGCCTTCAGGCCCAAAGAGAGGCGCAGGGCCTGGTGGGTGCACAGGCTCCTGGAGCTCAGGAGGAGGGGGTGGCTGCCTCCTCCTCTACTGTGATCCCGGGAACCCTGGAGGAGCCTGCTGCTGCTGCAACACCGAGTCCTAGGGAGCCTCCTCCTTCCCCACTGGCCTGGCCTCCAATCCAGGGCGACACTCCAATGAAGGCTCCAGCAGCCAAGGAGAGGAGGGACCAAGCACCTCCCAGGACCCAGCAGTCCCGGCATCTGTGCTGCAAGAGGCACTAGAAAAAGAGATGTCTGATTTGGTTCATTTCCTCCTCCTCAAGTATTGCTTGAAGGAGCTGATCACCAAGTTGGAAATGCTGAATATTGTCATCAAAGATTACCAAGATCACTTCCCTGAGATCTTCATCAAAGCCTCCGAGTGCATGCAGCTGGTCTTTGGCGTCGATGTAAAGGAAGTGGATCCTGCCGGCCACTCCTATGTGCTTGTCACCGCCCTGGGCCTCACCTACAGTGAGGAGCTGAATGATAGACAGTGCTTTCCCAAGGCCGGCCTCCTGATAGTCACCTTGGGTGTGATTTTCTTGGAGGGCAACTGCGCCCGGGAGGAGGTCATCTGGGATGCACTGAGTATGATGGGGGTGTGTGCTGGGATGGAGCATTACATCTACGGGGAGCCCCGGAAGGTCATCACCCAGGATTGGGTGCAGGAAGGGTACCTGGAGTACCGGCAGGTGCCCAACAGCGATCCTGCATGTTACGAGTTCCTGTGGGGTCCGAGGGCCCGTGCTGAAACCAGCAAGATGAAAGTCCTGGAGTATGTGGCCAAGTTCAATCGGAGAGACCCCAGATCCTTCCCTCCCCTGTATGAAGAGGCTTTAAGAGATGAGGAAGAGGGGGCGTGAGCAGGAGTTGCAGCCAGGGCCAATGGGGGAGCAGGGCCGGTGCACATCCAGATCCCCTTCCAGCAGCTCCTCCTGCCCCATGAGAAATGAGTCCTTTCTTTACTCTGTGTCTGAAGAGAGCAGTCAGTGTTTTAAGTAGTGGAGGGCCCAAGTAGTTTAGGGAAACCAGCAGTGCATAACCTTTTTGTGTTCCTGTTACATTTCGATGACTTAGAAATTGATCTTTGTTCCCCTTTTGAAATTTTTCAAATTTTGCTCTTTTTCATAGAAGATTTAATTAGCTTCAGCATCTAAGTTGATGAATGATATTGACCACACATGTAATTTTGCTTATCAAAAGTAAGAGTTTGAAAAAAAAAAAGAAGAAGAAAAAAAAAGTAAGAGTTTGCTATTTTGTAAAATAAATGGGGAAACCTTCCATTTCATTTTGTTGCTTGGAACTAGGTGGAATTGGAATTTCATTGCAATAGGCATTTTCTTGGAAATGTGAAAGAACTTTGCATTTAAATATATGGAGTTGTGAAATAGAGAAATAAAATTTAAAGACAGTTATTTCTTGGCATCTCATTCCTTTTTAGGTGTTTTTCTATAAAATTAAAATATATGTGTGTATGTGAGTTTGCTTGGCTTATTTGAGAATGTAGGGGAAATTTAGTCAATAAATAAGAGCCCCTGCTCACTGGCACATTTGTTCTCCAAAGATTCATTGAGCATCTGCTCTTTGGAAGGCCCTGGGTTAACTGAGACACTCGGGTAAGCCAGACCCACCCCTGCCCATAGGATGAGAGAGTCTAGGAGCTGCAGTCATATTATTAAGGTGGTGAGACGTCCCCTAAGTCCTAAAGAACAAGTGACGGAAGGGTTGAAGGGTGGTGCTTCTGGTGAGAGCAGTGGGGTGTGGGTGCCCTGAGCCAGGGCCTTTTGGGGCTTTGGGAAACTGCAGTTCCTTCTGTGGGAGTTGGTTGTAATGAAGCTGGGTGGTGGCAGGGACCAGACTCTCAGACCGTGTGACTCGTGACTTAGGGCTGAGAGCAAAGCCTGGAAGGGAGAACTGTCCTGAGCAGTTCCTTCTGGATGGTGAGCAAAGCAAAGAGGTATTCCAATTGGGGCAGGTGTGGAAGGTGTCCCGTGCTCTTGTCTCACTGCGGCTGAGCACAGTGCAAGAACCAGGTGATCGATAATCATCCTCCGCAGGGATTTCCTGAGAGATAAGGGTGAATCTCCCATGAAGTGAGGCCCCGAAGCCACTGGCCAGGTACTCATCTGCCTGGCTGGGAGAACCAGAGCTGATTCTATTAAAATGACATTTTAATTAGGTTATCTCAAGTGTGATTTGGCCAATTGTAAGGGCTTAGATTTTGGGTGGTGATAAAATGGATGAAAATAGCAGTTTGGCTGGAAAAGCAGCTGGGAGGGAGGGAAGGAGTTGGTCCTTGACTCAAATTCCAGGAGCTTTGAGCTGTATCCAGCTGGGGAAGACTCCCCCACACACAAATTAAATAATAAATCATCTAGGAGGGAATTTTTACTGAGTTTTATCTATGAAGCAACATTTTTGGCTGAATTGGTATTCCCTGTACTATTGCACTGCATACTCAGAGGTTTCCTAGATAATAACAACACTAGTAAAAACAAAATTCCCAGAGGAAAGTGTAGTAGGATCTGAGTTCAAATATAATAGTAATGCAAATAACTGCCAATCATTAAAGATCTAATATATGCCAGACACTGTGGTAGGTGCTTTACATACATTGCACACATTCCAACAGTCCTTCCAGACAGATCCTATCAAACCTATTTCACAGATGAAGAACCTCAAGCTCATAGGGCTTGGTAATTTCCCATAACCACATGGCTAGTAAGCAACGGGGTCAGGACTAGATCCCCTGCTGTTATGGACAGAAGGGTGTCTGCCCTAAAATTCATATGCTGAAGTCCTAATCCCCGGTACTTCAGACTATGACTGTATTTGGAGATAGGGTCTTTAAAGAGGTAATTAAGGTAAAATGAGGTCATTAGGATGGGCTCTAATTTAATGACTGGTGTCCTTATAAGAAGAGGAGATTAGGACACAGACACACACAGAGGGAAGACCACGTGGAGACACAGGGAGAAGACAGCCATCTACAAAACCAAGGAAAGAGGCTTCAGAAAAAACTTACCCTGCCATCACTTTGATCTTGGACTTCCAGCCTCCAGAACAATAAAACACTACATTTCTGTTGTTTAAACCCCCCAGTCCATGGCACTTTGTTATGGCAGCCCAAGAAAATGAACACATATGGTCTGAATTCATCTAGAGCCCACACCATTCCCACTCCTCCCAACCTGAAGCAGACCTTGGTCTTGCTTCATTTCTCTTCTCATGATTCCATAATGTTTCTCAGGCAAACAAAAGAAGGACTGTGCTCAAGGTACTAAAAGCAGGCCTAAAAAAGTGCTACAGAATGAAATGTGTCCTCCCAAAATTCATATGTTGAAGCCCTAAGCCCCAATGTGATGGTCTTTGGTGATAGGGCCTTTGGGAGGTAATTAGGTTTAGTTGAGGCCATGAGGGTAGAGCCTCTATGATGGGATTAGTGCCCTTACAAGAAGAGACACCAGAGAACTAGCTTGCTCTTTCTATCTCTCTCTGCCATGTGAGGACACACAGAGAAGGTGGCCATCTATAAGCCAGAAAGGAAGTCCTCACCAGACACCCACTACACTGGCACCCTGAGCTCAGACTTCCCAGCCTCTAGAACTCTGAGAAAATAAATGTCTGTTGTTTAAGCTCCCAGTCTATAGTATTTCCTTATGGCAGCCTGAAATAACTAAGGCAAGAAGGAAGATGGTAATGTGAACTAAACACAATCTAGGGATTGCATGTGGTTCCTTGAGAGCCAAATCTTCCCAGGTGCCAGCATTTTTGTGCAGTACCAGTCCTTTACTGAATTACAGTGCCGTTTTCCAAGTCTTGCCCCATGTGCCTGCCTGTCCAACTCTGGAATCCGGCCTGCTGCCCAGCTCTCTGTGGCTGCATCCTCTAAAGGCTGTGCTCTGCTGCCAGTGGAGCAGCCCAAAGTCACCTACCCTCCCCCTAAAATAGAGTATTTCTACTCGGCAGAAGTCCCTTAACTGTCCCTCTCCCTCACCCTGGAGCCCCTCTGATAGCAAAGATCCCTTTGATTTTGAATAGTGCACTTTAGACACCTGATCGTCCTGTTGGATGTCTTCAACACATTCCCAAAATGTTTTCCAAATAAGCTGGTGAGTGGAGTCTGATTTGGCCCATAATTTACCAGTTCCTGAGATATAACCCTGAAGTTAGAGAGAAAGTTTTTGAAACCCCCCTGATATTTACAACAGGATTTTAATGGGGTGCCTTATTTGAAACTGGCCACTGAGCACATACATAGATTAAAGAGCTTTCCTGGGTGGTCAAAAACCAAAGCCCCTCATATTAGTCAGCTTAGACTGCCATAACAAAATACCATAGACTGTGAGGCTTAAACACCAGATATTTATTTCTCACAGTTTTGGAGGCTGGGAAGTCTGAGATCAAGGTACTCGCAAATTTGATCCCTGGTGAGGGCTCTCTTCCTGGCTTATGGACAGCTGCCTTCTCTGTGTGCGTACACATGGTAGAGAGAGAGACAGAGAGAGAGCAAGAAAACTCTCTGATGTTTTTTCTTATAAGGGCACTAATCCCATCCTGAGGGACCCATCCTCATGACCTCATTTAACCCTAATTACTTCTGAAAGGCCCCATCTACATATACATAACATTGGGGGTTAGGGATTCAACATATAAATTTGGGGGGAGAGGACACAGTTCAGTTCATAACATCTCCTTTATATTGGTAAATGAAGAAATGGAAATTACTGTGAAGCAAATATCTACTGAAGCTGAATTCCTAAAACTCTGGTATCCTCCTAGGAAGTTAAAAATGGTTCCTTAGTAGACATGCCAGCTCAGATTAAAATGAAAGAATAACCATCTTTCCACTGTTTCTGGTCTATGTATCTGCCCCACAGGAAACTCCTCGCTTTCAGTGTGTCTAACGACATCCTGTGCAGATGTTCAGTCATGCAGAGGGAAGCAGAGACTCACAGGTTAAGATTTTGCCCCTACATCAAATGGAAAGAGGAAGTCCTCAGCCTACTGAGATTACAGATGGTGCTGCAAAGGATAGTCCAGAAAAGTGCTATTGAGTGAAGAAGGCAACTCCTTCCTGCTGAGATGTATAGGATCCTTGGACAACTACATGTGATCCTGTAATTGAAAGCACCTGTCATATAGTAGGCACTTTAAAAAGTTGGAGAGCTTGAGGAAAATCTGGCCTTCTCAGAAACTCCTCCCAGCAGTGAAGGGTGTTGTCATAACAAATTATAGCCGTTGCTTTTTGTTGAGCACCTACTATGTAACAGTTTGTGGGAAAGATTTTAAGTGCTCTTGCACATCTTGTCTTCCTCTCCTTCGTGGACACATGGAAACAGTGCAGTCCACTTGTAATGAGGAAGGGTCATGGGACTATTCTTTTTCACTGGATCATGAGCAGAAGCCTTGTTTGTCCCATCCAGGCACTGGAGAGCCAGTGTGCCATTTCCTCTCATTCTCCCTCCATTCAACGGCAAACAAGGCAACTCCATGTGAAATGGGGGAGTCACAAGGAGGAAGCAGCCTGGGCCCTTGGGTCACTTGAGAACCCCTGACAAACCACATCAGAATTTATATGCACGAAAAATAAACTTTTGTTGTGTTAAGCCATTCAAATCTCAGAATTTGTTGCATGAGCTTGCAGTTACTTCAAATAATACACAGCTACTATTTTTGTTGTCAAGCTTGTTTAGATATTTCAATTGCAAAGGTAATTGTTACAAAAAATTCTAAAAAATAGATAAATCACAATTCCTCTCTTTACAAAGTTCATCTACAGTTCAGTCCCCTCCTCAGAGGTCACCACTATTATTAATAGTAATATGGTGTGTATTATTTTAAAGCTTATTCTAGGATTTTT